ATCTGCTGGGCGGAGCTCCAAGCTTTCTTTCTGAAACGAGTTGTGGTTTGATGAATTTATTCTTGTAATTTTATGACTTTATTCTCGTAATGTTACGACTTTATTCTCAAAATAAAAAAATGAGAAAATCTCTGTCCTAATACTCTGTCGTACAATAAAAACGCTCGCTCTTGGCCAATAAAAATGTTGTTGCTAACGACCAGCGGGCCAATAGAAATGCATCTTTGCTCGTCCCCCCAGAGGAAAGCCCGCCCCCAGAGGTGGACAGCACGTGATAAGAGAAAACACATTTTAAAAAGAATGGAATTAATTAAACTCAATATAAAAATATGAAAAAATAATGACTGAAAATATAAAGATAGAAAAAAAAAATATGAAAAACTAACATTTTTTTTGGGTTGGTGGACAGTCCCTGTCTCAAGTCGAGGACTTCAAGTATCCCGGAGTTGACAAGTGAGGGACTGATGGAGCGTGAGATCGAAAGACGTATCGGTGCGGCGTCGGCAGTGATGCTGTCGCCGTATCGGACTGTCGTGGTGAAGAGGGAGCTGAATCGGGGGGCAAAGCTCTCAATTTACCGATGGATCTACGTTCCCACCCTCACCTGTGGTCATGAGATCTGGATAATTAAAGGACAAGATCGCAAATATTAGCGGCCAAAATGAGTTTCCTTCACAGGGTGGCTGGGCGCACCCTTCCAGATGGGGTGAGGAGCTCAGTTACCCGGGGGGAGCTCAGTTACCCGGGGGGAACTCGGAGCAGAGTCGTTGCTCCTCCACTATGTCTGTGAGCTGGCCTGGTGGCGCCTCCCCCAGAGCAGCTGGAGGAGGTGGGAGTGGATCAGGAAGTCTGAGCATCTCTGCCTCAAGGATAGAGACGAAGAAAAAGGATGGATGGATTTTTTTTTTTAAACAACCAAAAAACTGTATTTTATTTATTAATTTCCATCAAACCAACAAAGTTCCCTGCTAGGACCCGTGTTCCCCATATGTAGAAGGTGGAAGGATGTGAGCCGCAGCTCTGAGGCATAACGGCTCATTATGGGACAGAATCAGCGCTTCTGGATCCGTTCTGTTATCAGACAGTGACAGACGGCCACGGTGACCCTTCAGGCTGACCGCGGCGGGCGGAGGGCCGAGCCGCCGCTCAGCTCTTTATCTGTCCGAGCCTGACCCAGCCGCTGATGGAGCTACAGAGGGGAGGGGGGGCTCAGGGAAATCAGTTTAGGGTTAGAAAGCTGAGAGGGGGTGGAGGTTTGGATGGAGCTG